AAACAAATTTTGTATATAAATTGCAATGAAAATAATGAAAGGTTTTGACATTATATGTATCGTTGTACTGAGAGTCAATTTTACGAGTAATGAACTTTCTGCAATTTATAGTAAGAGTTGTGTGATCACAACTCTGTATCCCCTGATATATATCCCCTGATACGTTAAAGTTAGTCTTTAGTTTTTAATTTAAATTCATTTAGTTAATTTATTATCTTATACTGTCTTACTCATGTATGTTTTCAAATACAGATTCAATTTTTAAATCTTAAATTGCTAATCAATTTTTAAGAAGTGCATTTAAATGGCTTGAAATTCGTCACAAATGCCTAACAAATCTTTATAGCATGCATTTACTTATGTATTGCACATAATCAACCACAAAAACCGAAGTGGGCTATCATAAATAACAATTCAATTGTAAAAATATAAGGAATCCCCTTAAGCTGCTACATAATGACAAATTGAGTTTACATTCCTTTTACTAGAATGATAAAACATGCAAAAATGTACAGAATAAGCCAAGTAGTAGTCTGTTACTTTGTTTGCTTTAATAATACTACTCAATATGTTTGTCACAGATGTTCTACATGCATTTCAAAGTCATAAATATTCGTTTCAGAAATCTCAAATAACCCAATAACAACAATAATTTTGCTGGGAATTGCAAATGCGACCAAAGTCTAAGGCATACTCCATGGTTAGAACGCAGTAAAACGCAACCAAGTACACTACAGTTCGATAAATGAATGAAAGGGTACAGAAAAATATGCGAAGACCATGAGATACAAAACTTAAATGACTGTAAACGGAAATATATACTGGAAAAATGTATATAAGATCATTGTTTTGTATAGACATCAATATGAAAAAATATGTATTTTAATGTGCCACATATAGATTGTAGAAATGCGTTAGTGATAAATGCGTTTGTGATAACTTTTGTCAAAAAGAAGAAGAGTGTAGCTAAAAAACATAAAAAAGTAAGATTTATTTACAAAAAATATGAAAACATCTAGAAAAACAGGACAGGAGACAGGAGTCTTTAACTAAGAAAAAAAATTTTTTATTAACTAAACTACAAAGACATGTATTTGTGATTTGTATATTGAAGTTTGTCGTTTCAAGAATTTTAAAAGAAAAAGTGTTAATTAAATAGTTCATCTTATCTTGGTTTGCTAACAAAAAACAGGAATTTTAAAAAATTTCATAAATTCATTAGAATTTACTAGTTTTTCTTAGTTTTAACAAATCGTATTCATAAAGGAAATTAATATGCATCCTCGCACAAATAACATCCCATTTACATACATTCTATACATACACATATAGTACTTACCCTGGATTCATGGTTATGAATATGGAACAAGTTGGATCCAAACGCAACATTGTATCTTCAAAGAAGAATTTCACAACTTTTCTTCCGATCGCCCGTTGTATGGTTAAAATTTGCTGCGCTACTACAGACAATACTTCCAATTCGATTCGATTGAATTCATCGAAGCATGCCCAAGCGCCAGATTGTGCCAATCCCTTCAAAAGTGAATAAATAAAAAGGCATAAATAAATGAATAAAGAATATGAAAAATAAAAGGAATTTTCAAACGAAAGGAAAATAAATTTCAAAACCGAACAATATGGTCGAATGTAGTTGCTTACATGATATTTAATTTATGAGAATCTACAAGCGAATTGCATCTGGATGCTCTTTTATAACATTTATACTACGAGAAGTTAAAAAACTTAAAAAAAAATTTAAAGATTGCATTTGATATTTTTTCCACAACAATGCCTATACCTTTGGCACACTATAATAGGTTTAAAAAAAATTTGTATCAATATTAATTTTAATTTTTTTAACGCAATATACCTTCATTTCATTTTTATTAAATGATTATTAATTTATTGATATGAGCAGTTCCATGAACAATAATATTAATAAATATGGATTTTATTTGATTGTTTTCCATATCAAGAAACAATAATATGGTATAGATAGTACCATTTATTATCTATACTAAATTCGAGTTTAATAATTAAATTAATAAAAATAAAAAAGTTAAATTATTTGAAGTTTTTTTATTAAACAACAAAGAATCCTCTGTTTAGCATTAACCGAACTCATTAATTAGGTGTTTTATAAAATTCGATTTATTTTTCCAATTGTATTCGAAATATGTATATTTCACTTTCAATATTTTATCATAATGAAAGTAATTAAAATAATATTCAGGTCTTTAATTTGAATAAAAATGTTTTGGAGTACATATCTTTTTGTGAGCCGCATTTACTGTAATTGCAATTATTAAAGTATTATTATATTTATATTTCTCTTAATTATGAAGGTCCTTCTTATAAGATCGTTCAATATTTGTAAGCAATTTGCATAAATTACAATTATAAAAACACATAGAACAACTAAAATATTAAATATTAATATTATGCAAAATTTGCCACGCGTTGATAGTAAATGTGACAGCTCCCACTTAAAATTCAAACTCTTACAAATTTATTGGCACAAAATTTAAATAAAAATTGCAAAAATAAAATTTTTTTTTATAAAATATCAAATTTATTGGTTAATGACCCCAGTTTTTGGCAATGTAATATGCTGGAGTTACCATAAGTTGGTAAAAGTAAACGATGTTGTTGATAGAATCTATCATCTCCAAAGAGAGCATGATAACATGATTTTCTCTTGAAAAAAATAAACAAAAGTTAAAAATAAAAATCTAAACAAAAGTTAGAAACAAAATCTAAACTAATTTTTAAGACTGAACTAAAGTTAATTAATATTAATGGTGAAATGGCCAATCAATTTTTACTATCAAGTTCTGAAATCTTTGAAGTATTGAAGCTACTCAATTAACTCGTTAACTAACCATTCATAGTAGAAATACAATATATATTGAAAAATAAAACAAAGTCTGATAAAGACATGAAAAAAGAATAAGTATGAACTTGTCTTTTCATTAATGAGAATATGGGTAAGACAAAATCGTTCTCACCCGAACTCCACAAAAATTTACTATAAATAAAAAATTAATATGAAGAGAATTTATTCTGAACTTGTTGTTTCTGAAGTTAAGTTGTGTTAGGTTGCTAACAAATCGAGAAGAAAAATGGTTGGTTTTAATAAATAATCACATTATTTTTACAATAATTTGTTTTTTAATTAAAGTAATAATTAATTTGTTTTCTATTAAACTGCAGAAATTTCTTATAGCAGCATTAATGTGCTTAGCTGTAGCAACGGCTTTTGCCATTGATACACCATCAAATGAATATCTACCACCAGTTGCAGTTGCTCCTGTTGAGGAAGCACAAATAGTGTTAGAACCACAAGAATCAGCTGCACTTGCTGATGATGGATATCGTTATAAGGTTGTACGTCGCGTAAAATATCGTCAACGTCGCGATGTCAATGAGTTACCTTCCAATGAATATCTACCACCAGTTGCAAGTGCACCTCTTGAGGAAGCACAAATTGTGGTAGAACCACAAGAATCAGCTGCACTTGCTGATGATGGATATCGTTATAAGGTTGTACGTCGAGTAAAATATCGTCAACGTCGCGATGTCAATGAGTTACCTTCCAATGAATATCTACCACCAGTTGTAAGTGCACCTCTTGAGGAAGCACAAATTGTGGTAGAACCACAAGAATCAGCTGCACTTGCTGATGATGGATATCGTTATAAGGTTGTACGTCGCGTAAAATATCGTCAACGTCGCGATGTCAATGAGTTACCTTCCAATGAATATCTACCACCAGTTGCAAGTGCACCTCTTGAGGAAGCACAAATTGTGGTAGAACCACAAGAATCAGCTGCACTTGCTGATGATGGATATCGTTATAAGGTTGTACGTCGAGTAAAATATCGTCAACGTCGCGATGTCAATGAGTTACCTTCCAATGAATATCTACCACCAGTTGTAAGTGCACCTCTTGAGGAAGCACAAATTGTGGTAGAACCACAAGAATCAGCTGCACTTGCTGTTGATGGATATCGTTATAAGGTTGTACGTCGAGTAAAATATCGTCAACGTCGTGATGTCAATGAGCTACCATCCAATGAATATCTACCACCAGTTGCAAGTGCACCTCTTAAGGAAGCACAAATTGTGGTAGAACCACAAGAATCAGCTGCACTTGCTGATGATGGCTATCGTTATAAGGTTGTACGTCGAGTAAAATATCGTCAACGTCGTGATGTCAATGAGTTACCTTCCAATGAATATCTACCACCAGTTGCAAGTGCACCTCTTGAGGAAGCACAAATTGTGGTAGAACCACAAGAATCAGCTGCACTTGCTGATGATGGATATCGCTATAAGGTAGTACGTCGAGTAAAATATCGTCAACGTCGTGATGTCAATGAGTTACCTTCCAATGAGTATCTACCACCAGTTGCTAGTGCACCTCTGGAGGAAGCACAAATTGTGGTAGAACCACAAGAATCAGCTGCACTTGCTGATGATGGATATCGCTATAAGGTAGTGCGCCGCTTAAAATATCGTCAAAGACGAGTTTAAATAAGTATTAAAATATTTAAAACATTCAAAACAAAACGTACTGACGCTTATAATATGACAAATATATAAAATATTATCAAGTATAAAACCATTGGTTTTTTATTTTCAATTACCTTAAAGAACTTTCCTAAAGCCTTGTAGTCTAAGCCATCGGAACAGTTGAAAACTACGCATTTCTTAGCGACGGCTTTGGCTAAATCTTTGCATGTTTCGGTTTTACCAGTGCCAGCTGGACCCTCTGGTGCACCTCCTAAACATAGTTTTAGCGCACCCATCAAAGTTCTATAAAGAAAAAAATTTTTAATTCAAAATAAACAAAAATAATAGAAAAGCATCTGTAACAAATGAAATCACAATAAAACGGAGCAAGTAAATTGGCAAAAAGGTATAATTCCGCTCAAAGCCTAAAAGTAAGCATTTATAGTGTGGACGTCATTTTAATTTTTTTTCTCTTGTGCAAATATATTTGTATTTTTTTAAAATTTGAAAACAAAAAATATATGACATTTGTTCTTTTTTCCGTTTTATTTTTGCCAACATTTTTCGGTTTCAGTTTCCTTTTACACGAACTCATACTTGTATCCTGTGCATTGCACATTTCGTGCCTTGAGTGTTTGTGCAATGTCAGACATTGATTTATTTGTTTAATAATAAAAAAGAAAAGTATTATCTGAAAAGCCATTAAAAAGGTTTCCATTTTTGTAGGTTTTTATGTGTTGTATTTTTCGGTTTTAACTATATTCGGCAGATTTATGCCGAATATGTCTATAAACATGCATTTCTGAAAATTCAATTTTAATGGATTTAATTCTGCTTGTTTATTTTGTAGGAAAGGCGTGATGTAGGTAAATTCCAAACACTTACCATAAAATTTTTTATTTTAAGCATTACGACTATTTACGTAGGTGTTGTTCCGATTTAAAATATTAAAATATCATATATTTTTATTTGTTCAATATTTACCTATAACAACGATCGGTCAATGGAGTAACAACCAAACGCGGTAAATTGCCAAGGTATTCCAAACCATATTTAACATCTGTTACAACCATACTGACACAGACGTATTCTTCTTTTTCTATGTTAAAAAAAAACGCATCAAAACATTTAAATAATTTCAAAAGATATATATGAAGTGTTATATATAATATTATACATATAGTAAAGCTTAGAAAAATTATTATGGTCAATTTAAATTGGAAAAATATATTAAGAGGTAATTGTTTAAATTTGATTATATATTGTAAAAGACAGCTTATGCTGTAATTAGCAAATTAAAATTAGTAATTTATTAAATAAGTTACTCTAAAATGTTTAAAATCAGTGAGCGAAAACAAACAGTAAAGTACAAAACATAGTGTAGTTTTGTATATTTGTTAAAAACTCTAAACGAAGAGTATACTATAAAAAGTACATTATAAAATGTTCGCGTTGTATTCTTTTCCTCGAAGTTAGTGATCTTTTTAACGATCTTTTCTCGAAAGTAGTGTATATTTAGTGTTCTTTTAGTCTCTATCGAACAAAACGATTTGGATATATATTGTTACAATAAAAACTATATATAATCATTATATTGTGTTATTATATCAAGTTAACTAAAGTTACATACTCTCATTTTCATGCCAATAATATCGGAGCTGTGATATCCAATCAAATTCATGTATTGATAATACATTTAAGTCACTGATGGCCTTTACAACATCTCGAGCTAAAAAACATGTAAGATTTGATTGAATTGGTTTAATGCATATAAGTTCTTTTATATATACACACCATGTACATCTAGAACAATAAGAGCCTCAACAGTTATACGAAGTCCACTCTTTAAATCTAAACGCACTAATCGTACGAGATCACCAATTTGTGCAGTACTTTTTACAACATATGCTGGTAGTGACTTCTTTTCTATGGCTTCCTCTACCTGTCAAAATTAAAAAAAAAGTGTAGATAGTTTATATTGCAGAAAATTTATCTAAAATATTAAAGCGTTTGGCATTTCCAAATTTGGGTTGTTAAAAAAGGTTTGAAATATTTCTTTTAAATTTGTACTGATAGTTGTGAAATACAAATCAAAGCTTAGAATCTTAGGATATTTACATATTTTTATATATTATATACGAGTATTTACCTCGTAAGTCCAAGCCATACATGATATACCTTGTACGACTTGTCCAGGCCATGATGTCACCCATCCAACACGATCACCTTGGTAATAATCTTCCCAAGCTTTCTTTAATTGATTAAGAACACTGTCCAACATAGCACCTTCGACTTCTTTTAACCACATTTCCACTAAACCCTACGATTATAAATAATAAAATATTATTAATAATATGTATATACATATAAATATAATATATAATGTTACCTTTAATATTTATTGAGTAAATTATAAAGTAATAAATTTTTGGAACAATTTTACTTACATTAGCAAGGGCTGGATTAATTTTACGCACTAGTGAAACACGTTCCATTTCTTCGGAAACCAGTTCAGTGATTATACCATTCTCATCGAATGTAAGAGTAGCAATCTGTATAATATAAACAATTCAAAAAGCTTTAAGTTACGTTGTAAAAAATTATTTACTATTTTTTGATTTTAATAAAGGTTTTTTTAAAATAATAAAATACTAATAAAATATCTCGCCTAAGAAGTAAGTTGTAAGAAAACGGATAATAGAAAAATTAGTTGATAAAATAATTTGTTGATAATAATAATTTGTTAAATAATTTGTTTTTGTTGATGTACAAAAGACAAATAAATTTTTTTTAAAATTATTTTGAATAAATAAGATTTTTAGCAAAAATATCAGAAGTATTAAAAAACAAGGTTTTTGAATTACTATAATTTTTAACTCTATTTGCGTACAAAAATATGTTAACCATTGAGTTAACTTTAGCTGCTTCAATTAACTAAATCGATCATATTAAATGGTTTTCCTTCGCCCAAACAAATTTGTTAGTCTCTTAGTTCAAAAATCCACTTCTCAAAATAAATGCATTTAAAACGACCCTACATATCATATAATATTTTATAAAATTTGTTTACTTACTCCTTCGAAACATTTCTTCAAATGTGGTTGTACACGTTGTGGATCTTTTGTCTCCGATAAAATTTCCAGTAATTCATCATTAGACAAGAAAAAGAATCTTGCAAAGAATAAACGCTTTTGTTCCAAATAAGTATTCAAACCTTTTGTTACAGTTTCTAAATCAGCTACCGCTTTTGTCAACAACTCTAGCATATTAGGATATTCTGTAGCTGCCATAACATGCAAATCTTGACATGCATATTTCATAATTTTTCGCCATAATTTATCAACCTTTCAGAAAAAAGACATATAATTTTATATGAAAATATATAATTATTTTGAATAATAGTTAATAAGTTTCTTGACATATATTTACAGCTTTAAAGTTGCGACCCTCTGTTGGCATTTGCCTCATAATATCTTCTGAACTGAAAATTGGTTCCAAATACATCCAAGTCACTTGGACTTGTGTCCATTGATCAAGAATATTCTGTATTAATAGTAAACGTTCTTCCCAATCATCAGCTTTGCTTCCCAATGCAACAATGAATGGTGAACGTTTCATTGCTTGTGTGCGCATTATATGATCATCCAATTGAGTCTGTATGTCATCTAGAGCAGATAGTATATTTGTATCAGAGTCACGATATTGCACAACTTCAAACATAACATCTGTCCAGTCTTTTTGCATATTATCTAATGTGCTGTTAAGTTCAAATTCTTTGCCAGCTGCATTGGAGACTTCTTCTAGTTGTGGCAATATACTCATTATATTGACACTTATCATATCTGCAAGTGTTGGATAAAGCGTGGGATTTACTTCTCTTCCCAAAAAATTGGAAATTTGTTGCCAATGTCGTGGCAATAAGCCACTACGACAAATTGCATCAAGTACTGGCAGGTAAACACGGAATCTTTCGATTTTTAAGCGCATAGTCTCCGCAACTCGTTTTGCTGTTGGATTTTGGGCAAATTGACGCGTTAATTTGTATATTATCTGCAAATGTATTAAAAATTAAAAAAATTAATCTTATTATGTACAAAACGAATTATAAAGTATTACCTTGTACATATTCTCAACTTCATCTTGTATAACATCAGCATCCAAACACACAAATGGACCGTTCATCCTATTAAAGTTAATATGGTTTAAAAGCTATTTATTTTTCGAACTTATTAATTTCATTATTTTTAGTTTAAAATAATTTTATTAAATTAATTCATTTAATTGAAATTTGGTTCAATTTAGTTCGGTTCAATTTAAATAGAAACCTATTTGAGTACTTACCATAATACATAATCTTTTTCAAATTCATAGGCTGTTTTCCATAATTTTTCTATAGGTTCCATTTTCTCAATTATTTCAGTTAACAGCGGGAATGGGGATACATCAATTTGTAGAAGCATTTCTTCAGTATTAATAGCTTTGGCTTCACGACTGAATTTCTAAAAAGTGCAGAATATATGAATAAATAAACAAAAATTATACTTATTATTTGTTTTAGCTAATAATATTTATTAATAATAATGTTCACATATATTAATGGCAAGTATTTTTTCAAATTACTTTCTTTATTATATTATTCTTAATAAGACGATATATTTTTTTAAGAATATGAAATTAAATTATAAGAAATTATGTTAAATTAATCGAGTTCCATAATTCGTATTTTTGTGTTTTGTTATGAGTGGCGTCTACAATACTTGGAGAACAGTAGTTCTCCAAATTAAGTCGACGGAATTATATTACATTATAAAGATTGCGATACCGGATTACCACAAAGGAATTGCTAAGCCTAAACAGGGTTTTCTTTGAAAAGGTTATTAGTTTTCTATGCAATACTGCAAATGTCTTAATATCGTATAAATGAGTAATTGAAAATGAAAAATCTAGAGCTATCCAATAGTAAATACTAAACAGTAAAAGATTACTTATTATCACTTATTATTTAACTAAAATTTCTTCAAAATTTATATTAACCCGCGTAATAATTAAAACAAAAGAAACGTTAAAATTAATCTTGAATATCTAATGAAAATGGTGTAAATTATAAAAATAAAGATTAACTTAATATAATTCTTGTAATCATATATTGTGAGCATGATATTACATTTATATCGTTTTAACATGAGTTTTGTTTGTTAGAAGCAAGCAGAATCAATACTGAATGACCATATTCTTGTTGTTTTAAAAGAATTCCACATTCGCTTAATTTTTATTGGTTGTCTTAGATCTATCGTCAATCTATTATAAAAACTTCTTTAACAACAAAATGAACAATCTCTGCTAAATAAATGTTCAGTTTAATTAATTTGACAAAATATTTAACAAATATTTAATCATTTTTATTGAAATCTTTTAATCCTTTTTAGAGCTTACTTCAAATTATAACGCATAATGAAATAAGAAGGGGGAAAAGCAAACTAAATAACTTTGTTTCCCTCGAATAACTTCAACATAATCTTCCGAAAACTACTCAAGTTACACAAACTACTCAAAATCAAAGTTAACAGCAGAACAAGTTCTTAACTTCTTCCTCTTTACTTATTTTTCTATTTTCATAACAATACTTAGTATATAACTAATTTTCTAAAAATTACCTCAATCAATTCGAACAACTCATCCGCAGTATCAACGCGTTCCTTCAATTCGTCTAGTGTGAAAGATTCTCGTATTTCCTTCAAACGGAAACCATCCATGCGTCGTTTTTCATATGCAAGCAGTTTTTCAAACAGCTTACGCTTTTCGCTGAAAGTAAAAATACGTGGATTAAATTGTAGCTCAAAGATGAAGGAGTCATGTATGTGTGTATAAGGAGCAATGTATATGAGAATTCGTTTATTTGATGGAAAATAGAATTGCTATATTTGATGGCACATGGCGGATACACAGGAGCCGAAATCATTGCACGTTACCAAAATTTTATGACAAAACTTACCGTAATGCCATTTCGAGTTTATCACGCACCACAAGCAAACGCGCTGCACTCAAATCCAAAACTTCCTCTAGCTCGCCGGGCAAAACAAATGTGCGTGAATTCAAATGAATCTCGTCCTCTGTTTGGTATTAAGGAATAAACAATGAAATATTGGTGAATTTGAGGTTTCGAAATAAATTTTAATATTGTTTGCATATTTAGCAACGCTGAGGTTAGAACATTAATTAGAATTTGTCTGTATTATTGTAAATCTTTGAATTATGACAATGTATGGAAATGCTGCAAGTACCTAAAGTGTGTTGAAGACAGTGACATGTGTTGATTTGATTTGAGAAGGTGTCTGAATATATGTATTGTGTATACTTTATTATATGTGCAAGTATAAGTCAAGAAAACTCAGTGTTTTAGGCCAAAATACACGCAATTGAACTATGTCTAAAGAAATGTAAAGGGACATCCACCACGAGAAAAAATATATATATATTCTCTAAAAGCAAATTAGCACATCTAGCACTTTACTCACGTCGAGTGAATTCAAAACTACTGTGGGAATGCCTTCAACTTCTCAAAGATCTTGCTGAAAGAAATAGGGTTCACTTAATATGGAGCTCAGGAGACAGCGTATTTGAGGGACACGAATTAACCAGAAAAGGGGCGTCCTTATATTGTATTGGGCCAAAATCATACTGTGGTCTTTCATGGAGCTTTTTCAAACTTAAAATTAATAAATGGCTGAAAAAAGCAGCTCAGACTGATTAGGATGATGCAATTGCCTGCAAATAAGCTATAGAAACCATGTCAGGGTTGTCACAGGGTTTCTTACTAGACATTGCGGAGTCAAAAAACATTTATCGAATCTAGCTATTACAAGGGATGATAGCTGCAGACTGTGCCAAACACATTTTATGTCACTGTGATAGTCTTGTCAGATTCAGACATTGGTACTTATCAATTGCTTATCCACCTATAACGGAAATAGGCAATATCACTTCAAGGGACATACTGACATTTTCAACTGCTACGCGGCTATGGAATTAAAGTAGGTTTGTCAAAATAATCCTCAAAGGATGCAGTGACGTGGTATTATACTTCCCAACTCCTTCAAAATCAATCTATCTATTTTATTATAAGTACGAAAATTCTATGACAATGATCCTGATCAAAAGTTTATGTATTATTTTTAATAAATTGTACATCATTCTCGAATTGAAATAACATGTGTTACTTACTGTTTAAAGTCGAATGTGTCAAAAGAAAAATTACGCGTTGCACGACGGTTTTAAGATCATCTTTAATAGCGAATATACGTTCCTCACGACATTCAGCTAAATAGTTTTGTAGCGCTACAACTTCCGCAGTTTCTTCTGGACGTTCACCTGCTTTCATAGACATTTCTTCAAGAGCATCACATATGCTATAATTTGTTTTAATAAAAATATTAAATATGTATTTAAGTTTTTTTAAAATAAATACTATAATTATAATAAATAATATTATTAACTTACGCTCGATTTTGGTTTAAGTTGATTGCTTTGTAATAATTTATCACGAAACTATATATTTTCTTAACCATCATTCTAATAGATTCTTTAACATGACGATTGTCAAGCATAAATAGATTTAGTGGTATAAAGTCTCTCAAATAGTAAACTGTGACCTCAATTTGGTAAAGTTTTGCCATAAAATCTGTAATATTCTAGAAAAAAGAAATTGATAATTAAAATCAACAAAAAAAATATGTATATGTGCAATAACTATGTACAATAAATAAAAATTAATAATATTAATATAAACGCAAAATAAAATATAAAATATAAATAAGTAATACAAACACCGATAGTAAAGCAGTAAAAGGATAATAATATACAGGCTTATTTAATGTGATTAAATAAGTAGATTTGCATCATAATTTAAAGTTTGGAGAGTTGTTCAAAAAACTAATAAATTAAACATTTTCTTTGTAAATGCAAGTTTTACAAAGAAAAGCGAGTTGACATCATAATTAAGTTCATAATGATTTGATCCCACAGTCCTGAGGAAATCCACAGACTTCATTTAGTTAACAAAATTGCTTTCCCAGTCAATATAGATGTAAAACAGATTGATCGCTGGCATCTGAACTGTTTCTAATAACATTTCAGATTCTGTGAAATGCAGAATGAAACATTCGACAGTCTTATCTGGTCATATTTGCAATTGACAGAAAAAGGGCTTTTATTAACCGAACAAAGTATCGCAACTTAAACTAAAATTGTTAACTTTATTAATAATCCTAATATGTTTAGAATAGCTTATAGATAAGCTTATTCTTAATGGAATAGGTCATGTTGTGATTTTGCTTCTTATAATAATTATATTAACTAAATTTTAATTTATGTTGGTTTCACACAATTTTTGTGATTTGATCTAGTGAATAAATATTTAAACAAGATATCAACTGTAAGATGCAGTAGCTTTAATCTGGATTGTTTCAAGAGGGATCTTCACTACAACAAGTAGAGAATGATGCCAAAGATCTGCCATTTCTTTTTTTTTAATTTTTTTTAATTCATTAAATTCATTATAATAAAAGTTAGATACATTATATATTATATTATATATTATCATTTATATACATAGTTATATGTATTTAAATATGTATGCTCGTGTTTTGAAAGTAATATTGCAACAATATAGAAGTAATATTAATCATTCTGCTCAAGAACTAAAACTAACTACTCTATCATTTATTTTTGATGGTTGGTTAAAAAATTTACAAGTTTTTTCAATGTTTCTATCGCTTTAATATCAGAATTTCTAATTAATATTAGAACTAAAATATAAAAACAAATATATATCAGATTTGTACAGTTTATATTGTACTTATATATCATTGTCCAGGCAAAAGCGATCTTCCACGGAATACGCTATTTGCATGATACTTTAAGTGTGAACTGTGTTACTTAGTTTTCGACTTTCGTTATCAGAATTACGATTTTAAATTTTTAATCATAGTTCTGATATAGTATATATAACAATAAACAAGAAACGAACTGCCAGTCTAGTACCAGAAAAAAGAAGATAACTTAAGCGAAGTAAGCTTCAAGAAAATAACAGAACAACATTTTGAAGCCAAAAAATTAAATGTAAGACATTAGTTAAATTAGTGATTCTATTATTATTTTTATTATTAAATTCAATGTTACTAAGCGCTTAAATTTTTTTATTGATTTTCATATTCGTAATCGATTATTTTCTATTTTTTTTTTGTTAGGTTATATAAAGTAAACTTGATCAGAGTTATATTTTATATTTATATTATGAATTAACTGCACTATACTATTTTTTATATATGTATATGCTTTCTAATATATATTATATATATATTATAATATTAATATATATTATAATATATATTATAAATATATTATATCAAAGGTATCTGCCATATTTGATATTATTTCTAAGAAAAATGATGACAGATACAAGTATGATAAAAAGTAAATTATTTTATGTCTTTGAGCTTATTCGTTTCGTATTAAATAAAAAATATGAAAAATTGCAGACCGACCTATTAGCTACTAATATTATATTACAATTAACCGCGTTTATGTCATACTTGAAGGGTACTAGCAAGGCAATTGCTTCAACGTTGCATCAGTCAATCAGATACTATTGCCTTTATTTTTTGAGGTACATGTGTGTTCGCGTATAATTTCCTGTCTGTCTGCTTATTTTCAATTTTGTGTCTATCAGATTTTATATTTAACTGCCTGTCAGTCTCATGTAGTTGCGTAATGAAATTTAATGTTAATTCTCCACATCATTGCTTTTAATCAAATCAAAATAAAATAATTAAAATAATTTTACCCGCAGCAAAATTTTTACTAAGAAATAGAAGGTACATAAATTTTTACTCCTGAAATGATTATCCTTCATTCATAAGTGAATGAAATACTGCCTACATATTTCCGTTATTTATTTCGAAATGTAGACTTTTTAAGCATTTTAATTATACTAAAATTGAGATAAGAGATCAGAAAATTAATTCGCTTTAAATTAACTAAATAATTATATTAACAAACGTTTGTATAATAAATTTTTTAACATTTTTGTCAATTTTAAATTTTGTCAAATTTAAAATGGTGAGTTTTAATATAAAACTGTAGAAGCCAAAGTGACAGAAATGATAATTAACATTTTGGCAGATTTGTTCATACACATAATCTTAAATTTATATTTTATTATATATCTTTAAAACATGTTAATTGGTTGATTGCAGTGAGTGTGAGCAGCCATTTTTAAACCACATTCTTAGCAAGAAGCTAGCTTAGAAAATAGTAAAGTCAAGTTAGAGTATACACTTTAACCGTTAAGCAGTACGAAAAAGAGCTAAAACACACCCTTCTAAATACCTATTCCTTTTGGTATCACAACTTCGATAATAACTGCTAAAATAATGTGTTGCATGAAAAAACTGCAATTAATCTACCAGTATTAACACGGTCACAATTTATAAGTAGTATTCGAAGCTCACCCATTATAATCTAGCTGAAGTGAAGAAAGTTACTAAAGTTCTCCAGGGAAAAATAAATCAACACACTAACAACAGTTCTTATTGTTATCATATTTTGTAATTTTAAAAAATAGTTACTGTAGATTAAAAATCAAAAAATATACTGAATATTACTTTCTTAAAATTACTTTTAATAATTATGTAATTATCAGATATAGTAAATCTGATTTTTATGAATTTAGTTATATTGTAAACATTATTTATTATTTACCTTTAAATCTGGTACAAAGGTTTGTGTAAAAAGTTTTTCAGTCATCTCATAGAGCATATTATTAAACAGTGGATAGTAATACTTGTAAATTGGCATAAGATAAACTTTTGGACCGCGCATATTATTTCGAACTATCGTTCTAACATTATTGTAAAGAATCTCCATATCAACATGATTATCAGGTACACAGTTCAACGTGCCATATGTTTCAGGTTCTGGAAATTAAAACAATAAAAATTTAATACTTTTTTTTTTATATTTTTTGAAAATAAAATGAAAATGCAATACAATAATTTTAATTTTCCGAATAATATAAAGGAAATTACAAAAAAAGTATAGTCAGTACACATAGTCAGAAAAAATTAATTAACATAAAAAGGAAACTCATAGCAAATAACGCGGAAATAAAAATGTCAAAATGTATTGGCATTTAAAAGAGAAAGTAATAACGAATGAAAAATTATATGTAAAAAATAAATACATGCATGAAATTTTATGTATATATATACTGTATGATATATACTCATACAGTATATATATATACATACAATTTCATGAATGTATTTATGTATATGTTTTTCATTCTGTAATGAAAATTAAAACTAAATAATTACGAATTTTATTGATATGTAATATCTACATTACATACAACATAGATGATATAAATAAAATTACATAAATTAAATATTAATAATTATTGGCAAAAACATCAATAAAAGTGCTCGTAATCAAATATTTATTTCGAGGAGATTTTTGGATTATAAACCGAAAAATAATAGAAATAATTTATTTGATATCTAAATATTAATAAGATTGTTGTGCTCTCATTAAAAAATTAATTAATTATAATTAGTGATTAATTAATTCAAGAACAATTGTATATTTTCATTTTATGTTTGTATACATATAATCCAACAGTTCTCAAGCACCTCTTCCTGATTCAATATATATCAAAATAGTTTAATATCTTGTTATTAGGATATATTTGAATTATATATTAGTCTTGAGCTGACATACACCTATTAGTACTAGATAGACCGTAATCTATCTATATATCTATATATCTATTAGCTTTATTCTTCAGTTGTTTTCCAGTTTTCCTGCTTCTGTCAAAAACTACTAAATCGGTGATGCCATATCGCCTGGTTGTTGTGTCAAATCTCAAACAGTTATATTTTATTACTTTACACACTTCAGATTATTTTACAATGCTTTAACAATTGTGTACAATTCCTTTAAAAAGTGGATTTATTTAATCATGATCATCATTATCATCGTCACGACAACTCATTTCCTGTCTTGGTCTCAATCAATATGTCACTCCATTAATTTTAATTTCGCCCCGTTATTATCCAAATGGACCCTTCAACTGCCCTGATTCGCGATAAACAATTTTATCTATATTTTATTTTTGATATAATAGTTATTTTTGCATTATATTGTCAACTTAAAGAACAATATATAGTTGTAACAAGATTTTATTAGTCCCTTGGATATATTGCATACGTCGCTTTTGTTAATTTTTTTCAAGTGGTGTGTGTTGTTAGTTGAATGTGGTAATTCAGTACATTTTTTATAATTTTAATATAAGCAAACGAATTTATCTAATTACTATGAATAAAATGTTCACTACAACTATTGCGAAAATAATCGATTTTACTTACTTTCCGACATTACATATTCCAAACGTGGTATATCATATCCAACTTTCAAAATTGTTTTAAATAGTTCAACAAATAAGTCAGGAAGTGCATCCATGCAAGGATATATGTACAATCTACTCGTATTTTCCAACAGAAACTCTGATAACTTATCCAATTCGGTCACCTTTCATAATAAATAATATTTATTTAATTAACAAAATTGCATATCATTTAATTGCTTACTTAGTAAGTAAAATAAAAGTGCAACTGTGTGCTATTTTGCAGCATTTTGTATACTATATCTTATATATAAATGTATTTCATCAACCGTAGACATGTGGACACACTAGTTTTGGTGTCATATTAATAAATAAAATTTTTAAAAATTACCGGTTCCAGAGCACCAAGGCTTGGCCGCACATAGAACAGGTTTGCATCATCATCAGGATCATATTGGTATATAGATGTGCCGCTGTGATCCTCTGACTTCTCGGGTTTTATAAAGTGAGCACCAACAACTGACGCAATTAAAGTCATGAGTGGTTTACGGCGTAGTTTGCGATCATACATATTATATTTTTCGATATCATTACCATCCTTAAAATTAAAAGTAATTAAAATAAATATTTTTTAACAACAGTCATTATTGCTTACCGTGTAATACAGCAATATCTTGTATAAATGTGTAACATTACGTGTGATCAATCCTTCTAATTGGCGCGACATATACGCATGAATACAATTGTAAAATATACCTATACGACCTTCAAATTTAACATTTAAAGGAACCATATCCTTCCAAAACTTTCGCATAACATCTATCATATCAGCACAACGTGGTAACCAATCGTTTACTAGCACCTTGAATTAAGTAACAGCATTTATATATAAATCTTAACTAATAACATTAATATATCTACTTCTCTTATATCGGCACAACGAGAACCTATATACCGTTGTATTTCGTCAGTTGGAAAAGACGTTTCTTGGCAAAATAAGTGACTTAGATTCAGAACAAACATATCGTTATAACTAAAAAAATATTGCTCAAATTTATTTAGTATAATGACAACAGTAGCATTGACAAAGTGCCGGTATTTACAGTGTAAGTAAAATAAGACAAACTAAAATAGAATAACTTCATAAGGGGGGATTGCTAGTTTCGTTAAATTGCAAAATTGTATAGAATTTATTAAATAAAACATATTATTAAGCTTACATTTCATGCCATATGATATTAAGTGCAATTAATACTGGGTGAGTTATCATTAGATGTTGATTTAATCGGCTACGGGCTATATAAATAGAGCTTTTCCATGGTACAGGGGCACGAATCGTCATCGTTGGAAAATCTGGTGGTTCAGGCTCTAACTGTAAGCGCCTACGTTCCAACGGTGATCTGGATTTACAATTAAATGGGAAAAATATTAGAATGAATATGAAGCAATAGGTAATATAATACATTTTAATATAATTATAATTTTTAAAAAATATTTACGAACAGAATAGTATTGAAATTTAACAATTGAAAATAAAATTATAATTAATTAATTAATTCAATTATTCTACAGCTGGTTTATGATTTTGTTCTAATATAAACACAGCAAGTAAAATTGTTAATAAAAAACTTTCATAGTAATAGTAACAGAAACTCCAGAAAAATTTGCGAACAAAAAAGTCAAGTACGGCTTTGGATCAGTTGGTTAAGACGCGCTGATTCTGAGCTTCACATTTGGCAGGACCCGAGTTCGATTCCTGGTACTTGCAGTCTCAAAAAATAATTATTTACGAATAATTAAATACAAGAATTATTTCTAAGACCACTGCTGATGGGTATTTGGCAATACTCGAAACAGCTGTATGGTCAGCTAAAAATTCAATTAATTAAAATAATATAAAAATAAAATTTTTGTTGTTGTATTTTACTACTGTTCGAAAAAAAAACATCTTTAAAAAATATTTAATAAATTAATAATATTAACTTTTATTCTAGTTTTTATCTTACTTTAATAAATAACGCAGAAATGCTCTTTTCACAGCCATTCGAAAATCTTCTTGTAAATCAAGTAAACATGATATCGTTAATACAGCCATTTCACTCGGTACTTGACGATCTCCGCTGAAGAGATAATCCAGTAATATTACTTCAGGAAATATATTTGGCCAATATTTCTGGAATGAAATTAAGCACGTTCAGGTTAATGTAAAAACTTGCTTAACTAAACATTCAGTATTAGTGTATGGCACGGAAGTAACAATAATTATATATTCCTCTGGTGTGCTATGTTATATTAACTTATACGAGTATGTGAACAAAAACTTTGTAGCTTAATTTACGGCTGTATACATAGGATGTTACTTAAGTTTCGCCAAAGTTTATTAATAGAAAATTGGTGTCAATATTTTTATTTTAAATTCTAATATCAAATTGCATTAAATTTTTATAAATAAATAAACTTTGTAATTACCTACTGTATATTTAACAGTTTTATGAACTGTTTTGAAAAAATGCAGTCTATAATAAAATATGAATTTGAAGTTGTTTAGAACTCCAGAGGTTCTCTGAATTTGGGATAGAAGTTTACAAGCATTAAAAATAGGTGGGTATATTAAGATGTCAAGTATACGAACGATTTTTTTTAGAGTTAATCGGGAAAGCGTTAGAGAAAGGCGCGTTCATATGTTAAACCTGGCATCTGTGTAATCCTAGTTACAGGCTAGACTATAAATCATTATAAACAATATAAATGATTATTTATTTGTTAATTTAAAAAGTTTAAATTTCCAGTAGTGATCTTTAAATTTACTATTTTAACCACCATTTATTACTTTTTAGGATTTTCGATATCGGCAATGTGCAGAGAAGTTTTATGCTAGTTTTTTTCGTATATTTTTCTTTAATTTGTGTATATTTATAACCCATTCAAAATATTTTTAATTATCATTAATAATTAGCATGGTTTGTATATTTTAAAATATCATTCAAGTGTACTTAATGATTATTTATATCCGAAGAATATCACTAGTATAAGCGTGGACAGTGATACAATAGATATCTGATGTCTCCTTCACCAGCGCTGACGAATACGACACATAGTAGTTTCGAATAGCAGACCTAGTCTTGTTTTATATCACCATGTAGCCAAGTGTTCTGTAAATACTAATAATATACTAACAAATTTTATTTTTGTGAGTAAAGCATAAATTTGACATTTAGATTTGTAAGCCATTGTAGACCTGGCTATTAAAGTCAGATAAAAATAATACTTGTTGTACTGTTGTAAAAAGTGATCATAACCAATACTCATTTGTGATCAGCAGGAACAGGAATTGATACAGGAGGTTCTATCGAAGAGCCACTAAATTTCACTTAAATATAATAAAGTATATTTTTCCACTATATTCCTATTGACGGGAATCCAAATTAGAATTACTTTGGAATAGCTGCCTTGTAAGTTAAAGAGTTGTATTCCTATATTCTTGATAAAACATGAACCGGAGAAATAGCTTTGAAAACTGCCTGCCAACTTGTGTAAATAAAAGAAACCAGGCTTTATACTGGATTTACGCGAAAGTTTTGATTATAATTGTAGTTGTCAAAAATTTTAAACTGACATCTGAAACCAAAAAGCAAAAATATTGATACTCATACAAATCATCTTGATTTTAACTTGTTTTGCAATCGAAATCAAGACTAATTTGAGATGACAGTAAAAATTACAAATAAAACTCTCGTGTGAATCCAGTATTAGGGATGGTGTATATTCCCACTTGAAATATCCTAGTAGAGTTGCAAACATGAAAGGGTTTACATATTTCTAGTCCCATGCAGAAGACTCAACGCCGCAGAGCATCAGTAAGTTCACAAATATTTTAGACGACGAAATAAAAATCAATAAAATATAATACAAATACAAATAACGTTCAATGAAATCAAAATCAATAATAAGTAAGAATATAATATAAGTTTTGCAAATAACAGATATTTTATAGTTAGATAGAAATATAGTTAGATGAAATCAAGTTTTCCTTTCGTAGATGTTAGTGATACGAAAAGGATATCACATCAAAAATGGTTATTATTTTATTTAGTTAAATCTAAAGAATTATTTAAGGACACTGTTAAGCATAATTTCTATGATTATATTAATTTGAAGAAACCAGTGGAAAACTATTTGATATTTAAACTTTATATATATTAGGATATATATGACATTAATGTCATTAGCTCAGCTGTTTAAAACGTGAGTTTGTGTTAAACTTCAAGCCCTGACATTCACTAATAAAAATATTATGGCTGAACAAAAAATATTTTTAAAAATATATTTTAAAAAAATGTATTTAAAAAAAAAAATTATGAGTGTTTCACACTAACTGAAGTGGTCAAAATTTGCAATTAATTTATAATAAAGTCTTTAAGATAATTTTATTACTATTTATCCCTTTCTATTTAAAATAGTTTCATTCTCTTAATAGTAATCTGACTTAATTTAGTTCCACTTATTGTTTTAGGTATAAAGTAAAGTAAGAATATTAGGTGCAGTAGTAAACTTACCTCCTCCTTCAGGATAAATTTGTAAGCGTTCATTAATACTGAATTTTTTTTATTGATTTTTGGTATAACTTTTTTAATTAACTTCGATGGATAAATATCAAGTTTTCGCACACACAACTGAAAGTATATATTTATTTAGGTTATATTTATAACAAAAAATTTTTGAATTTATTAGTTTTACTTATGATTATTATTATTAATATGAAAGGATATAGCATTGTGACTTTAAGATCTATATTCGATTAAAAAACTTAATTGAAATTTCCCAAATATTTTCAAATATATAAATTTTCATTTATTTGTAATAAATATTACTTTTTATATTTCTTATCCAATTGTTTTCACATTATTTAATTTTTTATAAAGTATGCTCTTTGCTATTTATAACAGATGTTGCTTTTAACGACTTTGCAGTGTAACATAGCATATCACAAAGCATATTAAATGAGTTGCTTATATATATCTAACCTTTATTGTTATTTAGCTTTATGTTTTAATTTTAAGCCTATTTAAATATTTAAATGCTCAATAAACGGGTATTTTTTATATTGCCTCATAAAATATCTAATGAACTTCGCATTTTATTATTTGGTCAGCTCGTTAAGTTGAGTTGCCTGCAGTTTAAATTCAGAAAGGCATTTTAGAGCCTTTTTATGTTTATATAGCAGAAGAGTACCAACAAGTAGAAAATGATATAAATCTTAACTCTTAAAATGAGGCAAAATTAATCTACATAAAGTGCGGTTAATTTGCATCAGTTTATGCGCACTTCAAATCGTTTTGAGGTGGCTTAAAATGCATTAGAATGACTATTAAGAATATGAATATCAGGTGAATCAATAACGAAAAAGGATTTTTTTTAGTGTACTGATTTTAAAATTGTTTTTTTCAAGTTTCCGTATAGCCAGAATTTCAAATTTAATTGGTATAAAGAGTCGTCTTCACAGATTTTTTATTCGAACTATAATTCTGTATTAACGGCCTTATTCAGAAAAAATTATAGAAGTTCAGTTAAAACTACTAATATAATAGAAAACTTGCATAAAATTGAGAAATTAGCAAGTTAATTAGTTTAGTATGATAATATTTGACATTTTAATTAAACGAAAAGTTTTAGGTATAAAAATTTATTTAAATAAGATTGATGTATTTGAAAGAAACGTTTTCTTACTAACATCGTGGTACTCCGCATAATCACGATTTTCATAAAATTTA